AGAATTTCCAGCAGCATCTAGAAGCATTTTAGTCTATTTTTTTTTTAGACATTTTTCTCTCTGCACACATACTTTTTTAGTAGCTCGGTGCTCCATGACGTTCAATGACGTTCCCATTCTTGGCTTTGTTTTTAAGCGTTGATTATTTATAAATGGCTATAAAACAGTCATACATCCTCCAATTTAATTCAAAATTTCGGCAAGTGACGTTTCATGAATACTGTAGCGACAAGTAAAATATCATAATTCTTTCTGCGCTACAACTGTGCAATTTTTAATTTCAATAAAGTCTATGCAATGTAAACGTACGAAAAAGTAGCATGCTCCGTGAAGCATGTTTTATCAAAATAATATAGCTGTATTATTTTTTAAGGATTACCGGAAAACATCAAACCTTTGTATATTTACTGGAAAATAGGTAAAGTTTTTATCTGGAGAGTTTAACCGGTTTCGTGGAAATAGTGCGCTCACAATGGAACATGTCCGCGAACTTTTCTAACAGCCCTCGTATATAAAAGCAATTATTACCTTTAAACATCCATTATCTGAACATCCAAAAAAGGCAACTTTATCCCACGTAGCTATGAAAACCCAAGCAGCAGGAAAATTGTAAAAGTTTGGGAAGTATGTCTTAATTTCATTGGAAGCTTTGTCTAGTATATCGGGGTCTGTAGTTTCTCTGTATCGAACATGTCCACCCTTTGTTGTATCCACGTCCCCCCAAAAGGGGGTGATAAGTCTGCGATCTCCATCCAGCGGAAAAGGATCCGGGGTATATTGTGACACCGGGGTCAGGAATGAAATAGCACCATTTGTACTCACCTAAAAGAAAACTCAACAAAATTTAAAAAATATATACGTAATAACAATCAAAATTTTCTTTCCTTGTTAATCTTAGCATTATACTTACGATTAATTGGTCATGTAGGTTATTGAAAAACGGAAATTTGGTTGAAATTGAAATAAACGGAGAGCTTCCATCATCATTTGCATCCATAGTTGTATCACCTTGTTTTTCACCAAAAGCATAGAATTCAGAAACTTTCAGTGTGTTCCCAGGAACTAGGAAGATTAACCACCACATCAGCAACAGGGACAACATAATTTTTTTAACAAAAGTCTCACAGAATGGCCTGGTAGTAATCAATGTCCAGTAACGTGTTTATTGTTAATTCAAATGCTTATATTTAAGACGTATTTTGCCTTGTTATCAAACGAAGGAAAAAAACATCATTGCTGAAATGTTGCCAAATTCCATTACATAATCAAGTAGATGTCATTATCAATCAAGTCGTTCCTGTTCTCTGAATTTGTTTCAAATGTCTGGAAAACGAAATCAGACCAATCTTGACACATATTTTAATCAATCTGTGCGCTGCTGTTTGAAGAAAACCAATTCAGTGAGAAGTGGGTTAAAGTACATATAATTACATCATTCTTTAAAAACATTTCTGACATCATTTTTTGATAGATCTGATTTTCTGCGACGTTTTCAAAGCCGATGTAAAAAAATATTTCCAACTGCCCTTTCCTAATTATTGATAACACGTGCTAGATCAAATACATTTCTTATTGTTGTAATACATGCATTTCTGTTTATTAAATTATGATTGCAAATTTATATAAAAGAATGCGTACATCATTCCAGATATATTTGTGATGAGTATTTCAATTTTATTTATACTAAAGGCTTCTGAGATGTTCCAGTATTACTTTAAAATAAATTTGTCCTGTCTATATTAATATCATGCTGATATGTGTATAAAATTTTGATTTAAGATTAAAACACTCACCTATATTTTTTCCTTATTAAATACAAATTGTACCCATAAAAAGGGACAAATAGACTTTTTAAATAGAAAATTAATGATGTTAATTGTTATATATGTCAAAGTCACCTAATGATAATATTGAGTGCTATATATTTCATATTTTCGTCACCAGAGCTGAAAGGTAGTGAGCTTCTCTGATAATATTTTGTGCATTCGTCTATTCGTCCATCAGCCTTTCTGTCTGCAAACTTTTAGCATTTTCGACCTAACATTACACGCAATGTTGACGACACTTTACGTTTCACTTTTCCAGCGCTGCGGTGTAATTACGTAATGCTTCTATTTGTGCTTTTAATGGTTTTTTCTTTACTTCTTTGTTCTTTAAACATGCTTAAAAAATCATCGACTACTTTAATTAGCCTAAATGAACAAATATGGCAAACTATTGAAATATGATAAATTTTGTTAATTGCTAACTCAAGATTACGCTTAAACGCCTTTTCTTGCATCACATTGAAGCAAACACGAATTGTAGGTCACGTTTTAAAAGAACGTCGACTGGACAAATATGTTGAACCTCCTAGATGTTTTGCAAAATATTCATTTTTTGAAAGACCTTATTAATCTGTCATTATTCTGACCATTTGAATATCTAATAAATTTTGTAAACGAAAATAATTATTCTGAATTTCACCCCTCAAAATACGGATAGTACTTATTTTGCACGTCATTTTAGACTCTAAATTTTTTTTGAACTTGTTATGTATTTATTCTCTACAAGGCACGCTGCTTGAATATAGTTAAATTCTATGTGAAAACATTGTTCCAATATAACTTTTTTTTAATTTAAACTTTCTTGTAATTGAGTAAATTTAGTGTTTATACTGAAATGCACGTTTAACGTTTTTAATTATTTGCGTTACAGTTTCTTTTTTTTTGTAAAACCTACCTCATTCTTCTTGTTTGCCCTAGTTGAATACAAATTCGTAAATGACGCCACAATCGGCAAGGACTGCTCTTGTTTGTCACAAGCGGCAAGGACTGTTCTTGTTTTTGAAAAAATGAGAACTGTAGATTCATTTTTTAACATTGTAATCTAGAAATATGAAAGATCTCTGCTTAAGCGTTACATGCGTAAAATGTCTGCGCTGTAAGATATGTTTTCATAAAAGTCTTTTTGAATCTATTTTCTGACTGGAATCAAGTTATTGTATTTAACAGCTGATGATTTGTAGCAAAAAATACACAATTTGTGAGTATTATTTTAAAATTACCGGTAGAAAAATTGGTCTGGTACTAAATTTGTGAAATATTAATGATACCAATATCGCGCGCAACGTCACCATCTCTTCTCTAGAATCACAGAGAATTTTTAAACTAAACTTGCCAAAAAACATCACTGGGTGAAAGGATTTTAATTTATTCAAAGGAAGGTCATGGGAGTTAATTAACAAGTCATACAATTTTAATGACATCGATCTTTTAAAAAGCTTCTTCTCAAAAATCATTGAACCATATATATATATATATATATATATATAGAAAGAGAGAGAGAGAGAGAGAGAGAGAGAGAGAGAGAGAGAGAGAGAGAGAGAGAGAGAGAGAGAGAAATCCTTTAAAGCAATATCAGCTGCATTTTTGAGAATTATCTCCATATTTCACTGTAACATTAACGTATTTGTCAGTTTCCTTCCTCTGTTGAAAATTGATCGTACTCATATCATGCTCTTGCGTACTGAATCAGATGAGATATATAACTTGTAGGTGAAAATTGAATATTACTACAATAATATGGGAAATCAGTGATGGAAGACCTAAAATTATCAGGATGCAAAATTACTATTTTCAAGACAATGTCGTATAGTATATGATTTATGTAAATCATATTGTTAGATGAAGAAACGGTAAAAATTACCAGAAAGAAAGAAAGAATAAATGCCTTTAGGATAATCTCCTAAGACTTACTGAAGAAGTAATAATTACATTATAATCTCCTGAGTGTACCTGAAAAGGTTCAAATTATGAAAGGATTATTTCTGAACAGTCACCGAAGATGTACTTATTTTACAAAGCGCTCGAAGTATTTTTAAAGGATTGCTCTCAAAGGAGCTCTCTTTGATGTTAGGCTTTTTGTACACGCGTATTTACATATTTACATAATATATTATCCTTTCATAATAAAAATTAGACTTTTGTCAAGCTTATTTTGTGCAATGGTTAAAAGACGTTTAAATAACAAGAGGTCCATGGGCCACATGCATCGCTCACCTGAGCACTTTGGTCAGAGAACAGCAGAAACAAGTTCTGTATTGGAAAGTTTAAAAATATAAGGCGTCTCACCCTAATCTGAGAGGGGCAGGGTAGCGGGTCATGATTTGAGCAAACTTGAATCTTCTCTAACCGAAGATATTTCCATATGTATATGGCTAATCATGCCTTTAAAATCTCCTACAGATTTTCTCCTATATATTTCTATGTAAAAGTTTGATCTATTGTGTCCCAGCTATACCTAGAAGGTCATGATTTGAACTAGCTCGAATCTACACTACTTGAGGATTCCTCCATATAAAAAATGTTCTTATGAACAAGCTTTTAAAAATTTTTCATATGTATCCCTATAAATCTTTGATCATCCAATATGGCCCCACCCTACTCTCAAAGGTACTGATTTAAAAAAAAAAACTGGAACCTACACTACCTGAGGATGCCTCCATATAAATATAATCAATTATGGCTTTGGTGTTCTTGGGACGAAGATTTTTAATTTTTTTAAATACATATTCCATTGTAAAACTTTGATCGCCAATTGTGGCCCCACCCTACCTCCAGGGGTCGTGATGTGAACAAACGTGAATCTTCACTACCTGAGAATGCTTCCACATAGATATAACTAATCAAGGGCTCGCTGATTTCAAGAAAAAGATTTTTTAAAGATTTTCCCATTTAAAAATTTGATAGCACATTGTGGCCTCGCTCTAACCCCGTGGGTCATGATTTGAACAAATTTAAATTAACACTATGTAATGAAGCTTTCCCATAAATTCATTTTTCTCTGGCACTGTGGTTCTTCAGAAGTAGAATTTAAAAGATTTTTTTCAATATTTTCCCATTTAAAACTTTTACCATGTACTGAGGACATGCCTTAGTTCCGGGGCTCATTATTCGAATAAATTGGAATTTACACTATTTAATTAAGCTTTCAAATAAGTTGCATCTTTTCTGGCATAGTGGTGCTTGAGAAAGTGATTTTTTAGAAGATGTCATTAAATTTTCACTAATTCAATATTTTCTCCCCTTGGAAGAGGGCATGGCCCTTCATTTATACGAATCTGAATTATCTTTACCCAAGGATGCTTAGTGGCAAGTTTGACTGAAATTGACCAAGCTGTACTTGAGAAGGGTCATGTCATCTTTCAGGGGTAGATAAAAATGAGTGAAAAATTTTATGGCATATTTCAAAAAATCTTCTCAAGAACCACTGGGCTACAAAAATTTATGCCTAGGTGAAACACCCCTACTTATGTGTTCGGAACCTTTTGTCTTCTGGTGTTCCCCAAATTATAAAATTCGAGGAGTTCAGAATAGCTCTGACAGTAGCTCTGACAAGATTTAGCGAGACTACAGCGATATGAGTTAAATTATTCACGAAAATGTGGCTAGGAAGTGACTTCCACGTGGAGACATGTAAACAAAAAGTTATGTTGCGTTTCAGTTTTTACCACTGTATAATATCTGTAAAAATGTACTTCAGTCTCTCTTGAATTCATTCAAACTTCAATAAGTATTCTTAATGAAATTATTTTCTGCAGTTATGTATTAAAATTTCTTTTTTGACAAAAATACCTGCATGGAAACTGGGACTATATTTTTGGCGTCAGATTAGCAAATCACGTATCATCCTGGCTTAAACTGAAAAATCAGCTGAATGAGTTGAATAGCATTGTGGGTTACTACAGATACTACAGGAATTTTACGCTTGGGGAAAAACCAAATCTACAGGTGATCAGAAAGGCCCAAAAAAGCTTTTTCTTAGATGAAAAGTAATCTGTCCATTTTTATTCTATTACTCCCATGCTCACAATTACAAACAATTCATTTGTTAAATAAAAGTGGAATTCTAGCTTTCTCAAAGACAAACTGTAAGGCGATTTAATTGCGTCTATATTCAATTGTTATTGTTGTACTACCGGTAAATACAATTGTCAGGTGGATTCCCTGGCCAAAACACATGTGATCACGGGTATTGTAATGTAAAAAAAACTTTGTTGTCCATTTAACTGTTTAGATGCTTAAGAGATGCTGCTTATTTTCCTTAACCTTGATGTGCAGGTGTTCTGAACGTGGCACAGACTACATTTTATTATATAAATTTTATAGTTTTAAACAACGTAACGTAACAACCATTTGCAAACGCCCGTGAAATCTTTCATAGTTTCTAATCATTGTAGAAATATTTTTCATAAAAACATATTTTGTTTTTTGCAGTCCATTAAATATCGATCGTAGATTGACCTGTACCACGTACTCGATGTAAAATATAAACATTTATTAGTCCAGTAAACATTGCTATTCATTCAACGATTGGTCAATTGTTCGTGGTAAGATCCTCTGTGCGCAATAATAACAATAGCCATATGAGGAAAACAAAGGTTTATTGTAGAAGATATTACATATTTTTTTCCACCAGTGTATTGGGCGATTTTGGAAAAATTGTCACTACTGAGCTCCAATTTTCACTGTAAATTATCACAAAAGCGAAGATTAAGTAGATTGTGATCTTCATGAAAATCTCTCAGAGAGGTCTAAAAAACACATTTTTCATACGACATATTTTTATAAGAAACAAACTATAGCATTTTCCTGTTTACTGCCAATTTTTTTTTATATAACCTTTGAATGGGTCAACCTACACCACGTGTCTTGAATTTAAATCACAATAACATTAGAAGAGGTGTGAAAGGGTAAAATCAAACTATTCATCATTTCATGACCCCCAGGATAGTGATTCAAGTTTTATATGGGAATGTACAGGAAAACATCTTTAAAAGTCATCTTCTCAAGAACAACAAAGGATGATAAGTGATATAGATATGGAAGCATCCTCAGTAGATTCAAGTTTGTTCAAATCATGCCCCCTGTGAAAGCGTGGGGCCACACTTGCAATAAAAGTTTTACATAGACGTATGTAGGAAAAAGTCAAATCCTCTTCTCAAAAGCCAATGTGCAGCAAAATTTGTATCTTTTGTGAACTTTTTTAAATAGTGTAGATTCAAGTTTCTTCAAACCATAATCACCCAGGGGAAGGGTGGAACCGAATTTTTACCCAGGAATATATCAGACAAAAATTCTTTACAAGTCTGCTTTCCAAGAACCACTTGTCAAGACAAGTTGAAACTTAAGTGAAAGCTTTATTACAAACAAAATTTTTGTAGGAAAAACGTAGCTTTTTTACCCCATTTGGCTCCCAGAGTGCAAAAATCAAAATTCCGAAACCTTATTGCACATGTACAGCACACTGCAAATCATAGTCCAAAATATGAATGTAAGAGGAGTTTGAGGAGGAAGATGATGTGACAGACGGATGGACCAAATAGCAATAATATACCCGAGTTTTCCTCAGAAACTGTGGATATAAAGCGAAACACCACAAATATAAATAATTATGAATAACTATAAAAATAGTTCATAAAAAGTGCCACAGAACTTTGACAACTATATATTATGGTCCTATCCAAGCGATTATTAATACTTTACTAAATTTTAAGTCCCATTTACATTACAATGGTTGTATATTTATTTGAATAAGTATGGTCCTACCACTCGTAGATAGGGTTTACTCTGTAAATTCCTCTATAAAACTATGACCACCTAGAATGACATCACATAGCTCCACTGAATATAATTATTTCACCCTCTCAAGGAAAAGAAACATAGCACGAAGTAAGGATAAGAGATATAAAAGTAAAAATATAGAAGCAACTATGTTCTACTTACATGTAAATAAAGTGAATATAAAAATGTCAGTTATATTTAAAACATTTCATCTGTCGTGCATCGACTGGTATAATAAATGTAAATGTAGAATGACTTTTAAGGTGTGAAATTTAATTAACTTGTAGGAGACATGGTTTTATCAACATGTATTGGAGATAATTCTGTACTTTCTTTGTGGGCATCTTGAGTGACTTTCGACATCCTGACCCCCGAATGGATATTCAATTCGCCAAACCTGTAAATTAGAGTATATAAATCATGAAGTCCTAAAGTAGTATAACAAAATAAGTTGACAATAACCAATAGTGGTGCATCAAAAAAATCTACTAACAATACAAAACTGTGAACAGGGCATAAAATACAAATCCCCGGAAATTCCAGAGAGGGAATCAGGTGCCTAAAAGAAATAAGCATCCCTGTTGACCGGTCACACCAAGCAAATGTGGTTATAAAGAGGTATCTTAAAACATATGTTGAGAACATTTTTCAGGTGTTTGTTTTGGTATTTTGAAAAGGATTGCAACTTTCCACGTGTTCATTTTATGGTACAAATATAGAGAATGTTTTGCTTGGTACTAAATAGTGCGTTTCTCATATTGAAGATGATTTTTTTCTAGCAAATCAAGTGAAAGCATTTTCAGATTACAATATTTGTAACACTTGTAAAGGTTTTTATTCGTACCAAAAATAAAATTTTATATATCAGAATCAAACAAGATTTTTCGATGCTCAAACATATATAAAGAAAAATTAAAGCACTCGATTTTTCAGATTGACGAAATTATCTTCATATTTTTTTCTCTAAAATCATAGAAAGAAATATCATATTCTCCAATATAAAAATATATGACTCTGAAATACTAAGCATTATACAATTATTGCTGATTTTTGAGGTTAATACGGTGATTTAGACACCTGAGGAGTACAATATTCACCGAGCCCGAAGGGCGAGATGAATATTGTACTTCGAAGGTGTCTAAGTGATCATATTGACCTCAAAAACAGCAATAACTGTTTTATTATATGATTATCTATATTTGGTCCAACGTAGAATAAATAATTCCTTATATTGACCTGGAAATAATTCCTTATATTGACCTGGAAGGTCACGTGCAGGTCAATATAACGCAGTATTTTTCTAACATTATTGGATCTCAGCCAATCAGAGAGATGGGAATTATTCAATCATATAATAAATCAAGAGATTACATGGCTGAACGACTAAAGAGTACAGTGCTCCTCCAACTCCAATGTATACGGGAACATTTGTTGACGAGGTTGTTTCTTCGCTTCTCGGAAACGTAGCGTAAGGTATAGGTCCTTCGTCTCCAGTGTACTCAGGAGTATTCGCTGACGGAGTGTTTTCTGTTCTTCCCAAAATCAAAGTGATAGGTGTAAAAGTGCTGTTGTTTTGTAGATCTTGATCTTTAACAATGTAATCATGTCGTAAACATGAATTATTTCCATATGGTTCCCAATGACCATTCTTACATATAATATTTCTTGTGCTACCAGACAAACTGTATCCATCTCTGCAAATTAAGATTGCAGACGAGTTTTCTACGTTCCCGTTTGTCGATTTCCATACACTCCCGGCAACAGTTGGTAAGTCATCGCAAGTTATCACTGTAATGAAAATATGTGATTATTCTTCATAATTATAAAAATTCCCGTAAATCAAGCTGACGAATTACATAATATCTGGATATTATTCATGTATAATTATATATATATATATATTTCACCTATCACACAGCTGCCAATTGAGATTCCTGAAACTGTGTCTGGAATGTTCGGGATTGTTCCGCTACCTCACGTGATCCTGTGACAGAGAAATCAAAAATACAATCTTTGTCCTCTCCACACACTGCCCTCACCTGCTCTGTAACCGATACGGAGGATTCAAACACAGGCCGGAATGATGGCCGATGATTGTCAGCAAAACTCTTACCAGGTTCATACATGAACAGGGACTCCGTCTCATTGATGGCCCCTAAAATGATGAACATGTTTTTAATTTGTGGTCGAGGTTTTATAATTGAATATTAGAAATGATAGTAGACCAATTGTAAAAAAAAATCACGTTTTCACTTCATCACTTTTTCTTTGTCAAAGTATCTTTGCAGCAAATCCTTTCATATTATAACTTTTAATACGTTTATGAAATGAAAAATGGTAAAATGTATAACCTTTAAAAAGTTTCTTATCCCACTTCTGATGTTTTAAGACATCCTTCTTTGCTCCTTTATTATTTGTATTGAGCTTAATTACGTGTTATTATAATATTTCGATTAATATGAGATATCTATTTAAGAAATAAGATATCATTTTTAGAGTTTCATTGGAGTATGACATGAAGTCGGTCACTTGATCAAATCCTATAACGCTCGAAGGGCGATCGGAACTTTCCAAATGACTCGTGCAGTTTGTTTTCCAAACGCAAGAAAGTCTGATCATGTGATCAACTGAATGCCATTGAAAATTGAATTTCAATTTAATTAGTACTGTTATATAAGGAAGGACATTGGCAAATGTAAATATAAATTATTTAAAAAAGCTATATTTTGTAGAACAAACATACACGACATTCCAAACTTAGTATATATCACGACATCGCTGGCATTTGGCGGTAATTGTTGGTCATCCGAGGAAAAAAAGGTCATTGGATGGGTTTTCATCAAAATTTCCAAGTAGTCCTTTTAATTTTCCTTTAAATGAACAATAAAAAATTAGGATACATGCATACATGGCATATGACAATGTAGAAAACAATAAAACATAAAATAATGTAAAATCAATTTTTTACAAGCTAATTCAGAGAATCTGTGCCTCCCGCTTAGGGAAAAAAGAAGAGCATGCGCAGTTGGGGGGGGGGGGGTGTCACACTGCCCCCTGTATTTGTAGAATTATTAAATGTATACGTGTATATTGAAGCAAATTTAAAAAAAGCCAATATGGATATAAAGATTTGATTGCTTATTCTTTAATATATGTGCATGGAAGATTCTTTTTAGTATATACAGAATATTTATCACACTGTAATAATGATTTTATGAGTTTGTACACGCCAGACATCATAACTTTTTCATTTCACATGTTGAATAGTATCATTTAGTAAATCGAAAAGAAGAAAAAAAAAAACATTTAAAAAAGAAAGAGAATCGTCCGGGGATTGAACCCAGGCCTTTCGCTTGCTAAGCGAGCATCATACCATTAGACCACAGAGACACTTGAATATAATACAAGAAATTAAATGCAAACATGAAGTCACATATAATGTTTATTTTCACGTTTGATATTGTCAAAATTTTAATCAATACATGGTGTCTTATTTAGCCTTTACTAAACAGTTCTAATATATGTAATTAGAATATAATGTCCGCCGACAACCTGTATTATACGTAATTATTATAACACTCCACATGCCCCTGTGCTAAAAATAGTGCCAAGCGACTTTTACTACAATAAATAGATAAAATAAAAAACGGGGTGCGCAGTTAGAATAATCTAACTGTGTCTCGGGATGACCCTCATCACAGTTAGAATGCCCCCATATACCCGTAATGTAGCAGAAAATTGCAGAATCGCTCCGAAAGGATTTTGGAGAAAATTAATGAAGTTGCATTGAAAATAACAGTCAAATTAATCATAACAAACCTTTTTGAGACTGTAAATACCTTTCACCTAAAAATTTAATCCATATTATGGAAGAATTCAACACGTTTTCACGGACGTTTTTTACTCGTTTCAAATTTACACACCATGTTGACATTCGGAACACTCGGGATTTTTTCATAGTAAATGAACTGAGTTAGAGTTATCTCCCGTATTTTCTTCTGCTACATTGACAATACACGAAACGCATTCTATCGTTAAACCGGGTCAGTAGGACATTTATCATTTTCTGTCTAGGGGTGGGACACTTCGAGAGGGGCGAGAGAGGCTATAGGGAGTTATGATATAAAATTTCATTGCAAAAGCTCAAAAACTTCTTGAGATATGGCCCGGAAACAAAAGTGTTACACACAGACAGAATTTATGAAGTTATGACCTTGAACTTTGACCTTTTGACCTCATAATCGATAGAGGTCTTCCTTAGGCCACAGGGAGTTGTCACGTAAAATTTCATTACAAAAACTCAAAGAATTCGCGAGATATCGCGCGGAAAGTGTTAAAACAGACAGAATTTATGAAGTTATGACCTTGACCTTCGACCTTTTGACCTCAAAATCAATACAGTTCTTCTTTAGGCGATAGGGAGTTGCTATGCAAAATTTCATTACGAAATCTCAAAGGGTTCTCGAGATATCGCGCGGAAACGAAAGTGTTACAGACAGACAGAAATACAGACGGACGGACGGACGGACAGACAGACCCAAATTAATATCCCCCACTTTCAGTGAAAGCGGGGGACAAAAAGTATTGTTATCCATAGCCTAAGTAGATAAACTAGTGAATGCCCTTAAAGAATTAAAACTATTTTATAGCTTAAAGATAATTATAACAAAATATGATAAAATTACTTAAAAAGAAGGAATTCAAAATACCTTCTTTTTTTTTTTATTATATCCAACTTAACCTGAAATGATCACTTGATCTTTGCAATTCATGGACAAACCTTTGATATCATCCCAATGAACAATCGGTAGAATATTCATTATCCTCTTTGAGGCTTGGATGTTAAAAGATATTTTTATATCTTTGAACATTACCATCAATGAAGCGTCTGTACTAGCTTTCAGTCGGAAGCAATAGGATGGGCACACCCACCTAAAAATAAAAGCACGGCAAGAAAAAATGTAGTATAAAACATTAAATAGCGTAAATAAATTTAAAGCGTTTTATTCAAATACCTTTAAGATGTATCCACTTAGATTCCTCAAACTCAAGAAGTCCAGAATTATGGAAAACATCAACCGTTCTGATCGAGCTAAGGCGAACTTCTATCCGACCGGAACTATTTGCACACTCCATCACTACAGCTGTTGCTACAGTTGCAGGAGCAAGCGATCCTTTTAATAAATTAAAGTATTTCAGAGAAAAAGATATCTTAATAATTCATGGTATTTCTTAAAGCTAGTTCTCAAAAGAAGTGAATTATAAGATCTTACCTCTGTGTATAGGTACATGAACTCTCCAGCTTCATTAAACGTATAACTGAGCCCATCTAGGGTAGTCATGTGAGGGTCACCACTTGTCCTAGCTTAAAAAAGTAGCTCAACATGAATTATAGATGGATTTCATTTAAAAGCTGGTTGAGAATAAGTTAAAAACGTGGGAAAAATCGATGGTGCGTGCTTTTAGTGAGGAAAGTAATATTTCTTCAAGCAATAAATACTCTAAGATTATGTTTAGTGTTAAGTGAAAATAGTTGATTGCTTTGCTTTATTCATACATGCAAGTGCTCTTATTGAAGGGGGTGTACGGAGACAAAGTATTTCCCCTATTTTATAACACGAAGTTCAAATTAATATCATTTGCCCTATCCAGTTATAACTACCTAGCTTTGGAGGTTCGTAATTCTGACACGAGCTGAAATTCCTCAATTTCAAATACTTTTGGCAAAGGCTGTATGTATCCTCTTTATCGGAAGTATTTTTCGCGGACGTCTGTGAAAAACAGCAACACTGCATAAACGGCATGACGTCATGGTAAAAGTTACTAATATAAGGAACACCCTCAAAATAGTGGTATCGCTGCTGTGCCTCCTTCTTCCACCCTAGAGTCTATTAATTTATTTAAATCTGTAAATATGGCATAAAATAAGGAACTTTGAAAATTCCAGAGGTGGAATCAGGTTCCTAGGAGGACAACGCATCCCATGTCAACCGGTCACACCCGGTGTGATATATATGTATTGCTCAGGTAGACGGAATATTCCGTAGTCAAATTAAGGTTTAAAACATGGTCCGAAATTGGTTTGAAATATATCATTCCAAATACAACTAAATGCCAGATATTAAAATTTGCATAAAAGTCACCTTAAAATAAAACTTTTAAAATACAGGAATTGTTTCAATCATATATTACAATACCAAAAAGTCCCAATTTGCTAAACAATGACATATGAATAGAAAGAAAATACCCGGTACTAGAAATGTAATATGGACAGAAGGACAAAATATTATCAAAAATCAAAAAAAAAAAAAAAAAAAAAAAAAAAAAAAAAAATCAAAAAGGATTCCTTAGTTTGAGAATCCTTGAAGGTAAATACCTTGGTCTTGGAAGTCTTACATAATGTTGTGCATCACGCCTATAACGACAATTGACTTTTTCATTTGGTTCCATTTGGAACATGTTGCAATCAGGATCAGGTTGATATTTTACAATGTCTATAAGCGCCTGCCTGAAGAGAACATGGACAGGGTTTCCCGGGATCCAATGCTGGAAAGGAATTTTCTGAGTTAATCCATTTTTCACAGATCTGTCTGGCTTCATCTTCTGATTGGGATATTAGGAGAACATCGGACCATATTCCAGGGGGTGGCCTGGACAGAGAAATTTTAATTCATTTTTCGCAAGATCACACAGTGAGGATTCTATGTATATAAACATATTGGTGTATGTCCCAAATATGAATTCCAAAATAATGTAAACTTACATTCCTCTTCTTTTTACACGTGACTTAATCTGAAGTAAGGCAACTTGCTGAGTGCTGTTGAAATTAAAGTTTGCCAAACCAATAGAATTTGAAACATTTTTTATTGTATTTAATTGTTCAAAGTCTAATTTTCCATTTTTTTCCTGAAATTATAAAAAAGGTGACTTATTATCATAAAACGACATTATTTGTTGTTATGTACTTATATTAAAGTAAGAATTTGGATAATTAAGGTCTTCCGTTTCCAACGGAAGACCTTCTACTGATTGTGATGATTAAGATTATTAAGGTCTTCCGTTTCCAACGGAAGACCTTCTACTGATTGTGATGATTAAGATTATTCTTATTATTCTTTTTTTTTTCCTAGACGCCAACTTTGACGCTTCATATCTTCCTCATTTTTAAACAGATTTTGTTCAAATTTTCAGAGCTTTTAGACTTTACGAAACACTGTCAGAATACCGTAATACAATTCGGAAATTACCTTCTGTTCACGAGTTATTCCCCTTTGATTGAATTTAGCATGCCTCCGATTTCCAGACAAAGGCTCAGAAATGGTTATAATTGGAGCACAAAACCCTTTGAAATTGAAAAGAGGAAGCATTGAAGTTGTGCACATCGGTTTTTGTTTTTTGATTTTTGCATTAAAAATGGCGCTAGAGAGGGGTCAAAAGTTAGAACGCGGAAAACAGCAAAAAATTTGACATATTTTCCTTTATATCTTGAAAACTAGAAATATTTTGTTAAGACATGTAGAACAAAAGTTGTGCATAATTGCAAGGGCTTTCATATCATACTATTTAAAAGGGGCTGGCCCCTATGATTAGGGATCTTGGGCCCTTAAAAGTTTTTGCTTTATAACTCAAAAAACGGTAAATATTTCGATCTGGATCTTGGGAACAAAATTGTTCTTTTACACCTTTTTGATCTAATGAAAATGTTGTTTTGTTCGAGTATACCATGGGTATTGCGTAATACGTATTAGAAAGCAGGCCAGGTAAACAGGTAACGTTTTTCATTCGGCAAGGAAATCAGACCTCTTCATGTGTATAACTTAAACAGACTTGCTATCAATAATATACCCTGCGGTATTTAATGTTAATTTTCTTATTAATAAGGTTTAAAACGTGGTTTATGGTTCACTATTAAATTATTTATTACAACTAGTCTTTCTTTTCTTCTTTTTTAAATTAGATTAATAGTGCTCAAAAGCGGAGAATATTAAATCTATCTTTCTACGTTTATTATTACAACAAACTTTGTAAGTGATTTTAAACTGTATGCATTGAATAATTCACGATCATTAGCTGTATGCATATTACGGTCTTCATGTTCAGCTCGATGTTTAGTTATGTAACCCAACGCGCGAATCCCACGCTGTTGATCGAGGTCACCAGTGTACTAGCCACCTGTGGCCATAAACAAAGCTAGTATTTGTGATCGCGTATAATGTCAATTTTGTACAAAGAGCTATTAATTAATGGAAAGGTATGTTTTTAATTATATCGAATCAGTAAGATTACTTTACCGATCTGTTATAATCTTAATTCCAAACACTGGTGCAAAAAATCATTTTGAATTTTAATCGCTGTTTTTGTCTGTTCACGCAACAATACATTTTTAAAAAAGTTGCTCTATCCCGTGTTGTTGTATTTTAATTCATCTGCAATTGTAATTGAATGGGGGCTTCGGTAAATAATTGTAATTACTACGCATGCTACGCACATATTATTTTTACCATCACTCTTGTGAATGTCCATTTATTATTTATAGAATTAAATAAACATTAACATAAATAAAAATTCCTTCAAATGTACTATAATTCAAGTCTTTGTAAGATAGCAAACAGTTTCATCCATCTCTGCCGCTTTGTGTCCTTAGTGTTGTAGTCCAGTCCTCGTTTACATACACGGTGCCACAGAGAGCCGCGGGCACCTCGATGTTGAAATACATTGTGTACTCTGATAGTTGCTCTACACCGCACAAACAACTAACGTATACATGCAGTGTAGTAATTGGCAAAGATTGTTTGAAAAATATAAACTCGCATGTGTTCGCTATGAAGCATTCAGTTTAAAATTTTATTTACATGTAGATACCTTATAAGAACAAAATAAAGTAAATGTATAACACCTAGAACAATGTTTAAAAATTAAAATACAAATATCGTGTGCTCGGAGGGGAAGATGGCTTGAAAGGGTGTGTCTGTGAATGCTTGGATCTAGCAACACACTTCGCAAAGTTAAGCATACTTGTGTCCAAATCCTTTAAAAGTGGGGGCAATCCCCAATCCTCGCACCCTTCCTTTTTGAATCTAAAAATATATACCATACGGAGAGTTGTATATAGAGCGGGAATGTTATTTTATTAGTCCTTAAAGGCACAACTTAAGAAATGACTTATAAATTTTTTTTAGATAAGATTGTTTCGCGATACAGCTGTGATAAATCTTAGGAACTTCTAAAGTTATAACTTAGGCATATCTTAAGATAACTTAGGAAACGTTTTTGAAACAGGCATGTCAAGCATTCAGTCAGATCTATTACGACCACAGGCACTTGGGGTCTGGACCCCCCCCCCTTTTCCATTTTTTTTTTCTTTTTAAATATGGGGTCGAGTCACCTTTTTCCTATTTTTGTATTCTAATATGCACTATATGTTATCAATAATGTAACTCTTTTGTCTCTATATGCTGTTTTTAAATATACCGTTTTCGACTGATACATAAAAAGAGAGAAGGCTTGCAACTCTTTTCTCGTCGTCTGCCTCACCTCGCTTAAACTTCGCCTGATTATTTATCTAAAGCATAAGAACACATGGAATATGCATACATCAATAAATTTGTTACACCTTCTTCTTCCTTTTCATATTTCCATTTAATTTTTATGTGCCCCCGATTTGTAAATATTTCGATTAAATCAACCACATCTAGGGTAAATTTTGTTGATGTGTACTAGCTGGGACGGAAGTGTCCGGTATTTTCGGGCGTCATCATTAAGTGTTATGTCATTCGGAACATTAAATGAAAGAGGGAAAAAATCCCGAATTTTCTCTTCATAATATATGTAACGGTAAGTTTTGTGTATAACAAGATAACTCTAACTAGCAGATTCTAATGGATGAAGATTAACAT